TGGTTCTAAGAAGAAATGATAATTTTCCATCTTTTCGACTTTTATATGGCTGTGATGATAGGAATGACAATTTCCAAACTCTTTCTAATTCTACTTTCTAATAATAGGTTCTAACTAAATAAAACTTGTGAAAATCGTGATTTCTTTTACCTGGATTTATTATTTCCTCAATTTGGAAGTGTTCACTGCTACATATAACTTGCCTTAAACATTAAGCCTTGGATACCTTTGGTTATTCTTCACCACCGCCATGGGTATATACAAACTCATCAAATTGTATACATTAAGTATGTACTGGTTTTTGAATATCAGTTTTTTTCATTACATTTTTCCACCACATATATCATTATAGTTGCAAAATAAATTTTACCAGCATGAATACACTGCATATTACTCCAGTTAAAGGAATTATCACATGTCTTATCATCAACAGATAATTTTCCATTTTTGTGTGTTAAATATTTTGCTTCTTTCCTTTTCCCCTTAATTCATTTCTTCTAAGCCTCCTCCATTTCTCACCATCCTCCCACATTATCTCTAGTATCCACAATTGTTTTCCATGCTTTTATATCTTCTAATCTTTCCGTTTCTGCCGTAGAGGGCAGACATGCAGTATATATTAAGTGGAGACATACAGTGCCTTTCTTTCATAGTCTGGCTTGTTCATCCACTTTCTATCAAATGCCATGGTCTTTTTTATGGCTGAGTAGTATTCCATAGCATATATGTGCCACACTGTTTCAATTTATTTATCTGTTCATGGACATTTCAGTTGGTTCCATGTCATAGCAATTGTGAATTATACCACAATAAACATGGATGTACTAGTACTTTTACAAGTGAGTATAGTCTTATCCTTTGGGTAGATAAGCAGGAGTGAAATTGCTGGATCAAATGGTAGTTCTATTTGTAGGTCTTTGAGGAACATCTATATTGTATATCAATTACACCTCAATAAAGATGTTAACAAAAAAAAAGTCAGAATGAATGTGGTTCTTACCTATCCCCAAATGTAAATTGTTGAAAAGAGATATTTCTGAGGTTACTTAAGAAATATCCCAGGATCCCCTAACCTGTAACCTCTATTCTGAAATGACTTTCTCTCTCTCTCTCTCTTTTTACAATTTCAACTTTATTTATTTATTGATTTTTAATTTGACCAGAGAAGAACAGAGCGAGTGAGAGGAGGATGGGGGGAGGGAGAGGCAAGAAAGCAAGCAGCCAGATCAGGAACTCGAACTGTGGTTGGCCACATGGGAGTCCAGTGCTTAAACACCACACCACCTGCCAGCCACTGAAATGACTCTATTTAGTGTCTGTTTCACACATTATGGAAAAACCTGATCCTATCTTCCTTTTTTTTTTTTTTTGAGTGTGAGAGCGATTTTTTATATAGGGTACGTGTACTTGCCGAAGACACACAGAGAGACAATAAGAAAGCTAGAAATCACCCCTCAGGGGGGAATGACCAGGCTACAATCCATTCTCCTTTATTCTTCTCTTGGGATTTTGGGCATATACACAAATGCATCCAATGTGAGTTTTTAAGCCACTGGGTCCAGGACTTGAACCATGATCAACTATGTGGGAGTCATGCAGCATAACCATTATGCCATCTGCTGTTTCCTTATCCTAGCTTTTCTTTTCCTTATCCTAGCCAGAGTATTCTCTTACCTTTTCTAGCTAATTTAGTCAACAACATTCTCTTCCTTCTTTGAAATCATATAGTAAATAAGACTATATCACCCTGCTTTACCTTATTCTATATATATTTTTTCCCTCTGTGTAGTTCTTATCTCTTCATTTAAATTTTAAAGCTTAATGGAAGCAGGGACTAGATCTTTTTGTTTGTTTGTTTGTTTTTTGAGAGAGGTTTTTGCTATAGGGCGCATGCGCTCGCCAGACAGACAGAGAGAGGCATAGAGACAGAAAGCGAGAAATCACCCCCCGGGGGGATGGCCACGCCGCAATCCCTACTCCTCCATTCTCCTCTCGGGATCTTGGGCACGCACGCACATGCACCCAGCGTGAGTTTTAAGCCACCGGGTCCAGGACACGAACCGCGGTCGACTACGTGGGAGTCCAGCGACATAGACAGTACACTAACTGCTGATCCCTAGATCTTTTTCATATTCTTAAAAGATATTTTTGATGTATGGTATGTGCACTCACCAGAAACAGAAAGCAAAAAATCACCCCCGTCCCCCCAGGGGGATGGCCATGTTGCAACTCCTTCTGCTTCATTCTCTTCTTGGAATTTTGGGAATGCATGCCCATACACCCGGTGTGAGTTGTCTGGTGACTTAAACCACGGTTGACTACATGGGAATCCAGCAATATAAGCATTATGCTATCTATTGGTCCCTAATTTTATATTTTCTTATGCCAAATATCTAGCCCAGAACTAGGCACTTATTAGGGATCAGCAGAAAAATACCAATTAATTGTTATATAGGGCTATTCCCTAGGAAATTATGACTACTCTGCAGAGTGATTTGTAGACATAAACACCAACCTGCTCTTAATTCTAAAAAAGCAAGTCACCTTTATATTTTCAAGAGCTGATAATTAAGACACCTCATATATATTAATAGATGGACCAAGGATCATTTTTCAAATCCTCTCTCCAGATTCTTCCTGCAGCTAGTGAAGAGCCGTTTTTGGAAACTGCATTAGAAATGAAGAGGGAAAGTCTTGGTCAAGAGAAACAGGATCAGCTTTCTGCCTCGTGCCTGGCAGAGGCTGTGGCTGCCCTCCATGTGCAGCTTTAAATCAATCTGAATTTGTGTTACCTAAGCAATGTCTGCAACTAAAGGATTTCTTCAACAGCAGGTTACACAGAGCTGCAGAGAGACTATGGAGGAGCAAAAGTCAATGTAAACCATGAAGGTTGTAAATTCCCCCTTTTCCCCCCCTTGATTATGTACATATTGGGAGAGGAGAGAAGGCAAGCTACAGCACTAGTTAAGAAGAAAAACAATGAATGGGAAGAATAACAGTAAGATGTGAGCTCAAAAATCCAGTTAAGAACATTGTTACACTTTTTGATCCAATTATGGTACATTAATGTAAAGAGCAGGAAAAGAAAAGTTAAAATGCCAGTGTTGTCAATGCTTCAGTTTGTATATTATAGGAAGGGAACAGAAATAGGATAAATTTTAGAATACAGAATTAGAATTAAATTTGAGCTTCAGATTTCAGTATAGGAGTCTCTTAGATTCTATGAACTGTCTTCCAATTCCTTTTTTTTTTTAGGGTGATTTTTGCTATAGGGTATGTGTGTTCACCAGAGAGACAGAGAGATAGAAAGTGAGAAATCACCCCCACCCCCAGGGAAGATGGCCACACCACCGTCCCCTCTCCAGTCTCCTCTTGGGATTTTGGGCATGCACATACACACACCCAGCATGAGTTTAAGCCACTAAGTCCAACTCAAACTACAGTTGACCATGTGAGAATCCAGCAATATAACCACTACGCCATCTGCTGGCCTGCACCAACCTATTTTTAAGCCCTTCCTACTCTCAAAGTTGAGTCAGAAGAGATTAAGCCAAGTCTATCTTAAAATGCATTAAATGTAAATACAAATCTTTTCAGAAGTCACAAAATATGATCTCCCTCCAGAGATTATGAAATATTTGTGTTTGATAACACTCATTTGCATGTGTATAGTGTGAATTACTTTTCAAATCATTTTAACCCATTTTACTCTCACGACAAAGTTTAGGGAAGTATGGCAATTATTTTTTCAAGTTTAAAGATGAGTTAAATTAAGGCACCATTGAGTTAATGACTTTATAAGGATCTAGCTTGAGCAAGTGGGAGGCCTGTACTTAGAACCCAGTTTTCTCTAAGCAGAGTCACCTTTTCAAACATTACACTCAATTCTAGAAAATTAGAGAGGTCTTCTCTCTTCTCTGCATTTTTACCCAGGTGTCCAAAAAAAAAAAAAAAAAAGAAAACACACAAGAATTACTCTTCATTCCCCAATTGTCCATCCAAAATATCTTATGTGTAAAAATATATGTATGTAAGAACCTACTTTGGGATATAACCACAGAAATGCCACCAGGTAGAGTCATGATTTGCTATTTATTTGGCCAGAGGCAGAAAGAGACAAAAACTGTCAAGGTACACACTTTTACCTCACCCAGGAAGGGGCTGATCACTGGTGAAAATATAACTCTCCAAAGAAATGAGAGGAGTACTCCCTAGAAAAGAATCCCAGGAACTCAGCTACTCTGTAAAGAACACCTGCTCTTGGCCATTCAAGGTCCTTTTCAACTTCACTTTAGAAAGCAAAATGCAGGACCAGGAGAAAATGTCACACATGACAGGATTTCTCCCATGAGGGAAGAAAGCAGTAGGACAAAGGGGGAGCAATGTCTGGAGAAATCAAGGACATGATGCAGACTAGAATTACTGGGGGATTAGAGTGCAGGACACATGAATACATTAAACAATGGACAGGAGAAAAGTAGAGAACAGGCTTCTCTGATGTCTAAGGACAGAAGGCTACTAGCTGGTAACCACCTTCATTTGATTTCTCATAAGGCAATCGTTTTCAAGGTCTTCTACTTTACCTCTTTACCTTACTGCTGTCAAAACTAACCACTAACACCAAAACCTTTACTCCTACAAATTTTTCCCTTTCATGCCAAGAGTGCAAAAATCCAATTAGTTTTTGTAAACTCAGTTTAAAATGTGGAACCTCCTTTTTGCCCCACAAATCATGTCACCTTCATTTATCAAAGCCTATTAGCACATTAATATTTCTTTCTGCCAAGTGAATTCCTCACTTTGTTTTTCCTAACTGATCTTCAGGTCAAGAACCACTTTTCATGTTTTCTTGTTGAAGATTCTGGTTGTATAAACACCAAGCCAGGAGTCTCTATGCCCAGTAAAGACCTGTGTGCACTGTGTAACAATCTGCACTCTTTGTATGACTGCTTTCTGCCCAAATCAAACCAATTCAGCCAAGAATACTGTCTTTATTTCAGGCTTCTCAAAGAGCATCTTGGAGAAAAAGAAGTTGAGTTGGCACTCATCTTTGATTCAGTGGTGGAGGCTGACCTGGCAAATTATACCTGCCATGTAGAAAACCGAAATGGAAGAAAACATGCCAGTGTTCTACTGCGTAAAAAGGGTACTTATTTTTATAACTCTATTGGTTTGTTTAGCTACCAACAACTATTAAAGTTAGATAATGTTTCTTGGTCTTATTTTATCATTTAGCATACACTTCTATTAACCATTTAGCTTTTTTAAGGAACAATATCTCTTGCTGTGCACATTAGCATAAAATACATATGACCTTCAATACCATTAGGAAGTGGATAAATGAAATGAAGTATTTGTTATGTGTTAAATTCAGCGAGATAAGGTGTACCTTGGTTATAGTGTTACATAAAATTTTATATATATTGACATTCAATATTTTCTCCATATTTTTGCCTTCTTATATTTTATATTGCTTAAATAAAATGCTAGAGATTTTATTATTGGATAAGAAACAAAGTTGCTTTTTTATTCCCTGACTTAAACATAAATAAAGTAAACAGTACACATAATATTTTTACAATTGTTATCATAAAGTTCATAAACTATATTTTATGTTATGACCTGGTATTAAGGGACTCTTAGCAGGTGCATATATTTCTAAATAATTGGGCATTTATGGAGATCTCTCTCTAGAGTTGGTTCCAGATTGGGTGGAAATTGAATACAACGGGCAAATAAAAGAAACTCTAAATTCACAGATAAAGGGGATAAAAACAGACATAGCAATAACAATCTCAGAAAACAGAAAAAGCTTCTGTATTGGCTCTTACCTTGCCATGACTCTTGATTATTGTAGAAGGCTAAATCTGTATGTGTGCATCTGGCAAAGGTTTTATAGCACAACAAATGTTCTGAATCAGTGCTCTTGTTGCCTAGGCTATAGAGCAAAAGAGTAGTTACAATAGGCAAGGTCACTACTTGTACCTTTTGGCCAGAATGGAATTTCTATTCTCCAGCCAGTCCCAATACTTAGCCATGACCAGCAGCCATAGCATAAGCAAGGAAGTGTCATGATTTTGAGGATAATGCTTTTATTGCTCCAGCACTACTTCTTAATGTGCTAAACTTAATTCTGTCTTAAAATAAGGAGAATTGAAGGATAAAGAAGTTTAATATGGAAAAGAAAAGGTAAGAGACCCAAGTTCAACAGACTTGGTTCAGATTCCTGGTTCAGTAGGACTATTTTGTCTGATTAAACTCACTGAGTCTTAGTTTCCTCATCAATAAAGTAGGGTACTTTGCAGAGTCACAATGAGGTTCAAATGGTAATGATATAATAGATATGAAATGAATCATGTTCAGTGTTTATTATTATACTGAACATGACTATTTTCTCTGTTGCACTGATAAACACTAAATCTTGCCTACATAAAGAGCAGGCATTGATCATATCCAGATACCTTTTGGCCAAGTATCACTGTTTCTGTCCATCTCAGCTTTATTTCAGTCTCACAAATCCTTCAAGGCAGAGGTCACTCTTGTACCTCTGTATCCCCGACTACCTTGAGTAATGTCTGTTCACTAACAAACACTTAAAACCCATTTTGTCAAATAAATGATTAAAGTTCTCTTTTCTTACTGAGGGCATGTGTGCAACAAACATGCTAGGTGCTAGGAAATAGGATGCAAAATATGATAGCTATCCCCAAGTCCTCATGGAGTTTATAGTTTTTGGAACAGTGAGAGTTCAAAGAAAAATATTAAACAAAAAATTACATAAAATATATAGCATTAAAATGAAAGAATTGCTATGAAGAAAAATAATGGGGGAGGAGGGTCCTATCATTTGGCCAGTGTAGACAGAAATAGTCTAAGCTGAGTGATGTTTTTGATTTTTGTTTTGTAGAGATTTTCACCTTAGGACACATGTACTCACCAGAGAGAAAGACAGAGACAGTGAGAAATCACCCCCCAGGGCAGATGGCCATGCCACAATCCCTTATCCTCCATTCTCTTCCTGAGATCTTTGGCACACACGTACACATGCCCAGCATGAGTTTCAAGCCACTGGGTCCGGGACTCAAACCGTGGTCAGCCATGTGGGAGTCCAGCAGCATAACTGCGATACCATCAGCTCGCCCCGCTAAGTTGAGTTTTAAAATTAGTATTTCCCTTTGGTAAGTAAAGCAACAACCAGCATCACTTAAAATTTTAAAAATTTTGACAATAGATGTGAAACCATACTGTTGAACTCTGTTGCCTCCCATGACTTCTACCAGGGACTTGAACTTGTATGAATCATGAATAACTGACAATATTAATTCTCATTACCCTTATATTTAAATATTGGAATTCCTCAGGGTTTGGTACCCCTGTTTTTACTTGTTTTCTAAGCAATTTTGTTCAGTCTCCATCTCATGGTTTTGTTAGCCATTTACATGCTGATAATTCCAAAATTTACATCTCTAGCCGGAACTTCTTCTCCAGACTTGTGTACCCAATTGCCTATTCAACAATTCCACTTAGAGTTCTAATAGGCATTATCAGGTATAGCTTGTCCCAAACAGGATTCCTAATTTCTCATCGTTATAAACCTTCTCCTCCAGTCACCTCCTCCATCACCATTACCATCATCACCTTCCCAGTTGTTCAAGCCAAAATCCTTGGAATCATCTTTCACATTTTCATCACATTCACCATAAAAACCCTTTAAATATGTAAAGTCAGGTCACGTTATTACCCAGATCAGAACCCTGTGATCGTAGAACCCTCCCTTAGAATCAAATTCCAAATCTTTACCATGGCCTATAATGTATTGCACAATCTGTTATTTCTGTTCTAATTTAATACCACAATTTGCCTCAAATATCATATACACCAGTCTGCTATATATCATGCTCATCAAGTACAGAACTATTTTCTCTGCTAGAACACTTTTCCCCCAGCCATCCTCAAGGCCCCCCCACTCCCTTCATACATGTCTCTACTTGAATGTCACCTATTCTATAGGCCTTCTTGACCACCCTATATACAGCATGATATACACCCTATATTACCTTTCATTTTTCTTTTTTCTTTAACTTGGTTCTATTTCTTTTATTGTAGATTTTACTATTTGATGTATTATATAATTTTTTTGTTTCTTGTCTTCTTCCCTCCCCTCTAGAATATAAACTCTTTGAGAACAGAGAAATTTTTGGCATAATTTACTGCTGCATTCCTAGTGCATAAGTACTCAAAAATATTTATTATATGGAAATATTCCTCATAGAGGACCCACAGAGTGGGCTTGGGGATGAATAACAAGTGTTGGTAAAGAGAATATTTGATCTGTGATCTTATCTTGACTTATTTCTATCCTGGGTTACTTTAATGCTTTTTTTTTTTTCTTTTCAAAGATGTTTTACTTTCCAGATTGGTGGTTGAAAACACAAAGACTTCAGGAGTCAGATAGATATTGAAATTTTAAAAAAAGAAAAAGTGTTACAACTCTTTTAGAATTTGTCCAACAGGTTTTCCAGTTTTTACCAGAAAGTCCTCCTCCCCACAAAAAAAAAAAAAAAAAAAAAAAAAAAAAAAAAAAAAAAAAGAAAAGAAAAGAAAAAAAGAGGAAAATGAGCTTAGGCTATTTAAAGAAAAAACAACAAAACAAAACATAGAAAAAAAAATGCCTTGCTTTAAAGGGGTAGCCACTGCTTTGTTCTAGGTTATTGCCATGCTTGTTGGAATGTGGACTCAGGAATATAAGAGCTACCGTTTTCAAGTGATATTGAAAGGCCAGATATGAAAGATTTCAATTTTAAACATTAGTATTCACTTTTTTGAGAGATTATATAGTCCAACTAAAACATTTTTTGACCCACGGTATAGGAGTTTTAACTCTGTTCTAGGTACCAGTTAAATTTTTCACTGTGCTCTGAAAAAAGATGCAGTTAATCATCCCTTATTCAGTTTCCTTAGAAGCTTTCAACAATATAGTGGAATTTCAAAAAAAGAGCAAGAATATCTGTGGCACTACTCCATTTTTTTTTTTCAATCAGATCAAACTCTGTATCTTCTTGAGAAACTTCAGGTATTTCCTTTGGAGCTGGATATTTTAGGCTTTATCACAGTATAGCCTGGCCTCAGTGGCTGTAGTGGTCCCACCTGGAATATGAACATGGTCTGTTTTCTGGAACAGTAACTTCTTGATGAGCTGTAAGTAAAATATTTAAAATGCCCTAAGTAATCATTATGGAGATGAAATATGTGATTAATCCTTTCATAAAGTAAAAAGGCCTTTCGTAAAATAAAAACTCATATCTAACATATCCAATTAACAGGTAAGGGTATTGTAAAAACCAGATGCCCCCCTATTCTATCCTTCTTCTACATGTCCCTGCCACTTCTTATTTCTCTGATGAACTACTTGACAGTAAGTATAACTAGGATTTTAGTAAGAGATCCATCCTAATTTTTTTTCTTTGTTGAGCCAAGACTTTAAATTTAGGTTGAAGAAATTATAAAATTATTTCTTGTTTTCTAATACATGTCCTTTCCCATAAGATAAACTCATGGCACTGAATTTCTCTTTATTTTCAGTGTTACTTCCTAATTCTGACCCCAAAACATATATAGTAAGTATTCTTAGTTGTTCAGGCTGCTATTCAAAACAAAACCAAAAGACTACCCAAGTGGTGTGGTGGCTAAGGTGCTAGTTCCCACGTGGCCAACCATATGGTTCAAGTCCCAGACCTGGTGGCTTGAAAAACATGCTGGGCACATGGGCATGCATGCCCAAAATCCCAGGAGGAGAATGGCGGTAAAGAGATCTCAAGGTGTCCATGCCCCCTGGGAGCTGTTTTCTCACTTTTTTTTTCTCTCTCTCCTCCCTCTCCCTCTCCCTTTCTTTCTGTTGTAATCTAGCAAGCACATGTGCTTTATAGAAAATCTAAAACAAAACAAAACAAACAATCCAGAACAAAACCTTAATCAGAGTAATTTTAAAACAACAGACATTTTTTGCTCAGAGTTCTGGGGTCTGGGATGTCCAAGATCAAGGCACCAGCAGATTCATGTCTGGTGAAGGCCCATTTCTCATTTCTACCTGAGATTTCAATGATAAAGATTTTACTGTCCACATTTCCACCAACATTCTGATTATGACCAGTTAAGGTAACTTCTAAGAAGACTGAGGCTTTCTCTATAGTTCTTTTCTTCTTCTGAGGCCTCACCAGAATTGGTGTAAAGCTCCTTTCACAGCAGCATACCTCCAAAACTCTTCTGGTTTCTACCCAACCAGTTCCAAAGTTGCTTCCAAATTTTTATTACAACAGAACACCATTTCTCAGTACAGATTTCTGCCTTAGTTCGTTTTGCTGTTTTAACAAAATACCTTCGCTTGGGTAATATATAAACAACATAATTTATTGCTTACAAGTTTAGAGGGTGGGAAGTCCAAGATCAAGATTCTAGTAGGCTTGGTGTCTGGTGAGGGCCTCTTCTTCATAGATGGCACCTTCTCTGTGTCCTTACATGGCAGAAGGTGCGAGCGGTCTCTTACAGGTTTTTTTTTTTTTTTTTCCTATAGGGTGAATATGCTCTATAGAGAAAGACAGAGAGAGAGGGAAAGTGAGAAAATACCCCTGAGGGAGATGGCCACAGCATAATCCCTTCTCCTCTTGGGGTTTTGGACACACAAAATTTCAAACCACAGGTTAAGGACTCAATCTGCAGTCAGGCATGTGGGTGTCCAGCACCTTAACCATTACCCCACCTGCTATCTCCACAAGGCTCTTTTGTAAGAGCAGTAATAATCTTCCTGAAATCCTTATCTCTCAGTACCACTTTGGAGGTTAAATTTCAACATATGAGTTTGGTGGAGATGGGGACACAAACTTTAAGACCATGGCAGAAGCCTTCAGATGGGCTGTACTAACCTGTTTCCCACCACTTTATTCAGTGGAACAAACTCAGATATTCCCAATCCAGTCCCTTGATTTTAGTTACAATTTGTCTCATTGTATAATATCTGATATTTGTGTTTATAGTACATAAATAGTTGAGTTCAAACTAATAAGGTTAAAAAGAACTACACTTGTGCCTAGAAAGAGCTACAACCCATAAATATTTGCTGTTCTGTCTATGGTTATATTTGTGAAGTATATACAAGACACAGCTCCACTAAAATGACTTTCAGCTTCTCAGTCAGGAAATGTCTCTAAAAATATAGATCCTGCTGAGACATAAAATGGCAATTGAAAATAGAAGACAAAAGAAAAGCCAGGTGTCATTTAGGTGATGACAATTCTGCCCTCTGATTATAGGATAGATGGTTTCTTTTTGATGTGACTGCCTGGGCTGCACCAAAGAATACTAGTGACTCTCAGGGCCTAGGTTCACAGTTTTCAACTTAAACAGCCATCATTAAGCAATATCTTTCACATTTTTATAAAATGGACCCCAAAACCACAAAGGTACTTTTCACACCATGATTTTCTTCCATAAATTTACTGCTGCAAAAGGTGTCTGCTACTTGAGAGTACAAACTGTTCCTGCTGCTGAAGTTTTCCATCTACCTAATAGCAGCTCTACTCTGTAAATAACATAGAAATTGCTGAAAAAAAATCCCATTCAGTGATTTTGGAAACAGTTAAAAACTGTACTGACCAGAAAGAGAGACACAGAGAAAAAACAAAAACAAAAACAAAAATTTACAGAATAAAATGAGTATTTTACAGTAGGAAAAACCTTTTAAATTAAGTTAATCAATGAACTAAGAAGAAATATAAGTCAGTATTCATTGACATAGAAATCATATTGCTCTGTGAATTTAACACTAGCTGTTAATAATTTATGATTGATGGGACCAGCAGATGGAGTGGTGGTTAAGGGCACTGGACTCCCACATGATTGACCGAGGTTCAAGTCCCGGACCTGTTGTCTTGCTTTCTCACTTTCTCTCTCTCTCTCTCTCACTCTGTCCCTCTCTGATTAAATTTAAATAAATAAATAAAATAATGTTTAAAACATTTATAATTGATGTAAGATGGTAAGTAAATAAGCAACTATTATGATTTGCAGCCCCAGAGGGGTCTGATAAGCAAAGGTGCTTTATCCCTCATATGGAGATAGGCAATAGTTCCTGGAGTGCACTTTCTATATAGAGGGCAGGGAGCAGAGCCAATCTGTATGTAGTGAGGTGATTTTTTTTTTCCTAACATTTTGTGTCTTCACTTTCAAAATAATCACCTTTTACAGGAGGCAGGACAGAGCCAGCTTCCAATTTCCTATCCCTACTCAATATGTATCCCCTCATAATGTTCTTTATTCACACATATTTGTCTTTCACAGCAATTCCAGTCTCTTCCTCTATTCATCATCCTTGCCCCTTAATTCAGAATGACTTCTATTTTACATTTCTATGACTCTCCTGATTAGCTGTGCTGTATCTGGCCACCATCAATTCCTCTCTCAGTGTACTTCCTTTCCAAGGCTAAATTCCCTCTCTCCTCACAAAACATAACACCTTTCTTCATATGCTAGACTCCAGGGAGCCTCACTTCTCTCCCTAGCTATAGAATTATGAAGTACTCCCAAAGAAGTATCTGAGATCTTCTCACCCCTTTCATTCTTCCTGGTGAATTGTAGTTTATCTTCTTTTGGAATAGAAAGGGCAGAAGGAACCAAAATTCACAAGTCACATGTTGGAAAGTGCTACCAAAAATTCTACAGAACAGGTAGAAACTTTCCGTTGTCAATTTGCAGACTGTAACATGTAAAGCTATGATGTAATCAAAAGAACCTTGTGTGTGAAGTCAGGAGCCTTGGGCTCAAATCCCATCGTGTTCATATCTTAGTGTATGACCTTAATAAGAGACTTCAACTACTCCGTTTTAGACTCTTCATCCATAGATTTGAACCAATAATTTTTGCCCTAAAAGACTATTGAGAAACTAGAGAATAGACTGGTTGAAAATTTTGTCTACAATGTATTTTGTATTTACATTATATGTTTACCTTTTTTAGAAACTGTAATGTGCTATGTGGCTCTTAATTATTATATTGAGTCTGACTAATTTTTTTTAAGCAATGATACCATAGAGATAAGAGACTTTGCCAGAGAAAGATTGGCTACCTGGTTTTCAAGTGTGACAGACTGTCATGGTCAGCAGTTTTATGGTAACTCTGCCCCAGTATTGATCCTTTCAGGAAGATTGACTGATGCCAACCAAACTCACAAACAAGTGATGTGCAAACTAGAATGTCACTCCCTTTCTCAGTTTCTAGTTTCATGGTAAGCTAAATTAGTAATAAAAGAATCACTTGGTAATTTCAGAGTTAGACTAAAGAGAAGTTAGCTAATCTTGTAGGCAATTTCATTTAATTATAACAAGGTCAACAAATTCTCTGTCCCACAGTGAAAAATACAGTTTTGATCTAGTGTCTTCCAGATTCAGCATTTCTCTCCTGGACATTGTGAAACTCACACTACAAATTCCCTATAACTTTACATTTCTTCAAATTCCATGATACCATCCCTTTTCTTGATGATACACTCTTTAGATTTGTTAATATCACTAATTAAGCTATAGGTAAGTCACTGTTCTCTGAGCCCAGGAGACATTTTGTATCCTTCCATTATGTGCTGATTTAATTATTCTAACTCTCAGAGTTCTGGGGATGCCCCACTGGAGAAGCTTGAGGCTGCTATCAGGTAGTTAGGTGTCCGACAAGAGGCCAAGTGATTAGCCTGGATTTCTCATTCTCTTTTAGCTCCATTGGGCATATTATATCACATACATATTGTAGTCATTTGTTCTAATAAGTAGGGGAAATGGATAAGCTAATTTCCCCTGCTTATCGTGTATTAGATTATATTCTACTGAGGTTAAATGAAACAGTTAAATCCTGCAAACTCATTAGATTTTATTTGATTCTGAAAGCAATTCTATGATGTTGTTCTCTTGTAGAAGAATAGGGCCTGTGGCCAGGGAAGGACTAGATGGTAATCTAGTTAAGCCAATAATATAATTTAACAAAAAATAAAATGTTAGCTCTGGATCCAGAATAAAGCAACTTTAATACTTCATTGAAGTACACTTAAAGCAAAAATATATATGTAAAATATAGATGTGTTTGAAACAAATTGGGAGTAACTATTTCTTTTCAGATAGACTTACTATAAATAGTAAATAATTCAAATATTTACAAAAGATTTAACTTTACAAAAATTTTATTCACAAAAACTTATCAAGACTTATCAGAGCAAAGCTACTGCATGAAAAAAATCAATCTTCTGAAAAACAAAGAAATAGGTAGTTTATTTTACGTAACAGAAATATGTAAACCATGCTGCTATGGCACAATAGAAAAGCAAATGCCCTGCAAAGCTGGCAAACATAAGGCCAACTGCAGGCTGGGATTCCTGGGTTAGTCTGAAACTTGTTGGATATGTGCAAGGGCACCCAGGCTCCTGAGGAGTGAAGGGTTGGATAAAGAGAATTGTGGTGTAATAAGACACTGAGGGTGCTTCACCTTCTCCTATCTCTCTCTCTCTCTCTCTTGCTCTTATCTCCACACTTGCTTTCTATCATAAAATAATTTTTTTAAAAAAAGTAAAAATCCTGTAAAAATCGCTGATTGAATTACCTTTTCCTGTTTATTCTGTTTGCTCCAGACTTAATCTACAAAATTGAGCTTGCAGGAGGACTGGGAGCAATCTTTCTCCTTCTTATACTGCTGGTGGTCATCTACAAATGCTACAATATTGAATTAATGCTTTTCTATCGGCAGCGTTTTGGAGGTGATGAAACTACTGATGGTAAGTTTTATTGTATTGTTTGAATTCAATTAAAAAGCATGCATTTGTGATTATATAAAAGACTATTTCCTCCTCCCTCTGTGTGCCTCTCTCTGGTGAGTACATGTGGCTTCTGGCAAATATTTAAAACCATATTTACCCATCAAAAAAGAAAAAAGGAGAAACTGTTGATAATAAGTGAATCTAGTAAAATATATATGTGCTTTTTGGAAATTATTTTATTTTTGTAATGTTTCTATATGCTTGAAATTATTTCTAAAAGTAAAGTGTAACAAGGAGATATTAGTTGGTCAAGCAATAAAGCAATTGTGGTCCAAAGTCTTTCTGTTTAGTAAAAAAAAAACAAATTAAGAATCAATTCCAATTTTTTTCCAGAAAGTTATAATTTAGATACATATTATTTTTACCTATTGCTGCCATTGAGAAAACAAACCATGCAACAAGCAGATTAAATGCTAAGGAGATACCCCTTTTAAATCTCAAAGTACACAGACCTATATATTTTAGATGCTTGTAGCACCATTCTCAAAAATGACCTCAAAGGAGTAAAAATTTAGAATATGGTTTAACATCACAACCAGGTAGACTTTATTCCAGTGATGCAAGGTTGGTTCAACCTACATAAAACCATAAGTGTAATACACTACATTAACAGGAAGAAAGATAAAAACCATATGATCATATCATTTGATGCATAAAAAAGCATTTGATAAGATACAACATCCCTTCATGATCAAGACTCTCAGCAAAATTGGCACAGAAGGGTCATTTCTCAATGCATTAAAAGCTATCTATGAAAAACTCATAGTTAACATCATCCTGAATGGAGAAAAGCTGAAATCTTTTCCACTAAAAAACTGTTACAAGACAAGGATGACCACTCTCTCCACTCCTTTTCAATATAGTACTGGAAGTCATCGCCAACACAATCAGAAAAGAGAATAAAATAAAATACATTCAAATAGGAAGAGAAGAGATGAAACTATCTCTACTTGCAGATGAAAAGATTATATACATAGAAGCCTCAATAGTATCCATAAAAAAATTTGTGGAAGTAATACATGAATAAAATAAAATTGTAGGACACACAATCAGCATACCAAAATCTGCATCATTTCTATATAAAAATAGCAGGCAGAATGAGATAGAATTGGAGAAAGTAATTTCATTTACTAAGCCACAAAAAGTATAAGATAACTAAGAATAAATCTAGCCAAAAAAGTTAAAGATCTCCACAAGGAAAAATTCAAGCTAAAAAAAGAAATGAAAAATTTCACAAAAAAAGTGTAAGGACATTTCATATTCCTGAATTAGAAGAATTAATATAATCAAAATGGTAGTTCTACCCAAATTAATCTATATATTTATTGTGATCCCAATCAAAGCGCCAGAGACATTCTTCACAGATCTAGAAAAGAGAATCATAGAATTTGTCTGGAATCATAAAAGACCTCATATTGCTAAAACAATACTGCACAATAAGAGAGTAGGTGGCATTTCACTCTATAACTCGAAAATATACTACAAAACTGTGATAATAAAAACAGCATGGTATTGGCAAAAAAACAGACAGGTGGACCAATAGAACAGAATAGAGACCCCAGAAATAAACTCCTGAACATACAGCCAACTGATTTTTTTGTTTTTTGAGAGAGAGATTTTTGCTATAGGGTGCGTGCGCTCACCCAAAAAACTGAGAGAGTCAGAGAGACAAAAAGCGAGTAATCACCTCCCACAACCCCTTCTCCTCCATTCTCCTCTCGGGATCTTGGGTACACATGCACATGTGCCTGGCGTGAGTTTAAGCCACTCCATCCAGGCCTCAAACCATGGTCGACTAGCCATTATGCTAACTCCTGGTCCCCAGCCAACTGATTTTGGACAAAAGGTACCAGTAAATCCCGGGAAAAGGAAAACCTCTTTAGCAAATGGTGCTGGAAAATCTGGATATCCACCTGCAGAAAGAAGAATCTAAACCCGGGCGTGGGCAAAGCCGCAATCCCTTCTCCTCCATTCTCCTCTCGAGATCTTGGGCACGCACGCACACTCACCCGGCGTGAGTTGTAAGCCACCGGGCCCGGGACGCGAACCACAGTCGACTACGTGGGAATCCAGCGACATAGCCATTACGCTAACTGCTGGTTCCCGACAAAAACTTCTTAAATAAGACTCCCAAAGCACAGTCAATAATTCCAAAAATAGACAAGTGGGACTATATCAGATTAAGAAATTTCTGCACAGCAAAAGATACAGTAATTAGTGTCAATTGACAGTCCTCAGAATGTGAAAATATTTTTGTAGACTATGCATCAGATAAGGGACTGATAGCCAGAATACAGAGGGAACTCAAGCAGTTGTTCCAAAAAAAAAGATGATCAGCCCTATTAAAAGATGGGAGAATGAGTTGGAAAAACACTCTCTAAGGAAGACTTACAAATAGCTAAAAGGTATATGAAAAATGCTCAACATCCCTTATTGTAGGGTAGATGCAAATCAAGACCACAGTGAGATACCACTTAACCCCAATCAGAATGACTAAGATTCAAAAAAAAAAAAAAAAAAGAGAAGAAAGAAAGAAAATCAATTAAGTGCTGGTGGGAGTGTGGTGAAAGGGGAACTCAACTCTCCTACACTGCTGGTGGGAATATAAATTGGTCCAGCCACTGTGGAGAACAATATGCAGATTCCTTAAAGATCTACAAATAGAACTACCATATGATCTAGCAATCCCACTTCTTGGTATCTACCCAAAGGACAGAAGAATCCTTAGTTGGAAAAGTGCTTGCACATCCATGTTTATTTTGGCATTATTCATGATTGCTAAGACATGTAACCAACCCAAATGCTCAGGCACAGATGAATGGTTTGAAAAAGTGGCACTGCTGAGTGAAGCAAGCAAGCCTGTGAAGGAGAGCCATTGTATGTCTCCACTTAATACATACTGAGTATATCCACACTCTATAGCCAAAACTGAATGACTAGAGGATATAGAAACATAATAAATGGTTATAAATTCCAGATACAGTGTGGGAAGAGGGTGTGTGAAGGATTAGAGTCTGAGGAAGGACATTAAGGAGAAACGTAGAAAGGCAAGGCATTTATGGGACAAATAGATTATTATCTGTCGAAGATAATTTGTATAGTACTCTCAACTGGACTGATGAGAAATGTATACATGTTGGAATATTCACTTTGCAAGCTAATAACATGTGCTTAGCTGTATAAAAGAAAATGAAATATAAAGGAAAAAATTTTAAAAATTAGTAAGGCAATCATGGATACCAGAGACAGTGTGGGAAGAGGGTGAGACATAGCAGAGGGTGAGAAATAGGGAATCAAGGATAGCAAAAATAACAAAATATATAGGAAACAAATGGAAAATTATTTGTTGATGATAACACGTATGTTGATGTGCTTGATTGAGCCAATTTACAGTGTATTCTGGATGAGAAATCTCATTTTGTTTGTTGTAATGATGCATAGTGAATGAATGTAAATTAATTAATTAATTAATTAAAAACTTTTTAAATTAGTAAGGATATAAAAGACTTGAAAATATATATATAAGAAACAAAAAATGGAAAATTATTTGTTTGTTCATGATAATGACCTTGTTTGAGCCAATATATAGTGTATCGAAAATTTCATTTTGTATACTGTAATTATGTACAGTGAATTGATATAAATAAATAAATTTTAAATAAAAAATTTAGAATGTGGTTTATAATCTTATATTTGCTTTTTATGACTTTCAGAAAGCTTATGAATGAAATATCAATAAAGTATCATACTGAGTCTTGTTTTTTTGCACATTTAAAATGATTTAAAATTTTCAAGACAATAAATTATCATATTTCCAGTAAATGCCAATAAGAAATCATAATGTGTCACTCCTTATACATAAAGTCCTCACCTTGAAAACCTTGGAAATATGAGAATACCTTAGTTAAGCTAAAAATTTAAAAAAGAAATCCTTGGACAGACCCCATGACATACTTACTGTTTATGGGAGCCAGATCCCTTATAACTGATAATGGTTCAAATCTCAGCCCCTGCTACTCGAAAAACACACCAGATGTGTGTTTGTATATGTCCCAAATCCTGACAGGATGGCAAAATGGAAAAGGGATTGTGGTATGACCCTGCCCCATTAGGTGTGTTTTTTTCTTCTCTATTTCTGCCTGTTTCTCTTGCGAACTCATGAACTCTCTGGAAATATTTTTTAAGTCCAATTTGTAAATCAGTACCTTTGAAAAACAAAATTAAAAGCTTCATTTTTATTGTACTGAATTAATGAAGGTTAGGGATTTTTTTTTAGTTGATAGTCTTACCTTGAAGGCGAAGTGTTCATGATTTTGTTTTTATAGTGTAATATCAAAAATATTGAAGAATCTCTTTGATTTTGGTCTTATTTTGTTGTTTTGTAAATGATGATATGAGTGTTTTTTAGTTGACTTTTATGCCTTCACAATAAATTAGAAAAATGTTCTTTGATGAATACAATTCATGCTCAGTTTCAAAGCTGGGCATTTACCTAACAATTATAGCACCCAAACATACAGTATCCTCATTTGACAAATTTAGGCCTATTCAAAACATTACTATATACTCTGGCAATATGTATGAAAATGTGGTCAATTATCCTCAGTTCCTATATACAACACCTAATGTGAAAAAGTCTAACTTCTTACCAGTATGCATAAAATAACTAGATGGAATATGCTATTGAGGGAAATGTCACTGATTCCCAGATGCAAGCAAGTAGTTAATGTATCAAACTGGGAAGATAAAGCATGCATTATCCATGTATAAGAAAATAATGTCAGACTCCTGTGATTAATCTGATTTAAGCCATGATTATAAGCAATTTATTGATCTTTATATGAGATGATCCAATTTATTATACTATGTTCAATAATTAATTACTTTGGGAACCAGCAGTTAGCGTAATGGCTATGTCGCTGGACTCCCACATAGTCGACCGCGGTTCGTGTCCTGGA